CTCTACCACTTTTACTGCAGTGAGGGTGGCAAGGATCACTGAAAAGGGACCTTTTTGTTTTGGTTTTAATTGGTCAACAGATGGTCTCTCCAAGTTTTTACAAGTATTTGATCTCCAGAGCAGATACTAGGTGGTCCCCTGGGCCAGGAACTGGCAGGACTCTGTTCCCATACATATGAGTAGTCTGTTGTACTTGGCCGAGATTGATGAGATACTGTAAGAGTCTTCTAGTCTCTTGGTCTACCATCATATCGGAGGATGTCCTTCCATATAACATCTCAAATGGGCTCAAATTTAGCCCAGTTTTGGGGCATGTTATAAACCCTCATGAGTGCTATTGGTAACAGTTGGAGCCAGGATTCAGATGTCTCTTCATAAAGTTTTGCCAGAGCTCACTTGAGAGTCTGGTTGGTTCTCTCTACCTTCGTAGAAGATCAAAGGTGTCAGGTGGAATGGAAGTGGTACTTTATCCCTAAAGTCTGTGTCTCTCCCTGAGTTATTTGGGAGATAAAGAAGGCCCACTGTCATTCTGCAGAGACTGGGGTAGTCCAAATCTGGGGATGATTTCTTTAAGAAGCACCTTGACTACCTTGATAACCTTTTCTGAATGGGTAGGAAAGACTTCAATCTAGCCTGTAAAGGTGTCAATTAGGACCAACATCTGTTTAAATCTTCCACATGGTGGCATATAGGTAAAATCTAATTGCAAGTTCTCTCCAGATGTGTCCCTCTCCTCTGTACAGGTTCTAATACAGGAGGTGGTTTGGACTTGCTTGGGTTGTTGTACGCACAGAGTGGGCAAGCTTTGCAGACCTGTTGGGTGGTTGCTGCCATCCTAGTACTGTGAAAACTCAAGTGACCATTTTCAATGTAGCATCTCTTCCCCTATGGAAAGAATCATGAAGTAGTTTTATAGCCTTTCGGTATGTCCTTTGAGGAAGGGCCAGTTTGTTTCCTAAATACCACCAAAGTCCCTTTTTAATTCTCCCTTGTCCTAAAGCCCATTTGTCTTCCCAAGGAGTTTAGACTGGTTTTAATGGTTCTACAGGAACTGGAAATGAGGATAGAGTCTTAAGGGGCTGTAGGGATGTCCTTTTTGCCTTTCTGTCAGCCTTTTGATTTCCCAAGGAGACTTCCAACATGTCTCTCTGCTGTCCTTTACAGTGCATGACTGTGACCTATTTGGGAAGATGGACTGCATCTAGGAGTTGTAGAATTTCTAGCTTCTGTTTTATGAATGGTTGCTTGTTAGTCAGTAAGATTCTTTCTACATTATTGTTACTGGGAGAAAAGGTTTAGCTGACAATTACATAAACTGACTTTTAATGTCCTTCTCAGACAAAGCTATATCCACCCGTGAGCCATAGCTCCTCCAGATCATGGAGAGGCAGGTCACTGATGTCCTGTCTGTTTGCATAGGTTTAGGAGATTGTTTATAAGAGTGGCTAGCTTCTGGGCAGAGGAAAAACAAAGAATCTCTGATTAGAGGTCTTCTCATCCCCAACTGTAGCCATGGATCCAGAGGAGGGTTTTTTAGAGAAGTAAGTCAAAACAGAATGAAGCCATTCAGTTGGCTCACCCATGACATCCATGGTTACCCAGATTTCCTCAGCGAAGATGGTGATGCCTCAGGTTGCTTTGGGCCTCTCAGTCATCAGAGCTAGAAATGAGGGTTCTGCTGGCCTAGCACCTCTCCAGACAAGGACAATCAAACCTCCAGTGCCATGAGTCAGGCTCCCTGGCTGTCTCACATATAGAGCAGGGCCCAGGTGAAGGCTTGGTGCAATCTTGTGCCCAGTGTCCAGTGTTCCTTTGCACTTGAAATAGGAACTATGTCCTCAGTTGTCCCTGGGCTTTTCCTTAGACAACATGGGTGAGTTTAAAGCATTATTCATTGCTGAATGCTATTATCTTAGCTTTTCTGTTTTGTCTTTCCTCTGGACCCTGATTGCTGAACACAGAAAAGGTTGTGTCCAGCACTTGGGCCATAGGTACCTGTGGCCCCATCTGAAGTTTTTGTAGCTTACGCTGAATATCTGAGGCTGACTGACAGATGAAATATTGTCCCATTAGTGCCTCTTCCTCTCTGAAAGATGGATCTATACTGGTATATTTGGGAAAGGCTTCTGCTAATCAGTTATGAAACAAAGCTGGATTTTTCCCCTGTACCCCGTATGACTTCACTCACTTTATCATAATTGACAGACTTGTTAACACACCTTTTCATCTCCATGATAAGAGCACCTAGTATACTAGGCATCATTTCTAGTCCACGCTGAGTATTATAATCACAGTTTGGCTCTGTTGAGAGGAGAATAACCATTCTAGTGTGATTTCCTTCCCTTTTTTAAAGCATAGTGTTCATCTGCATAGTTTCTAGCCTCTTTCAGGAATTGCTGTATTTCATCTGAAGTACAGAAAGTGACCAAGATAGATTGAACATCTCACCATAAGTCAAAAGCAAACATCAAAGTTTGGAACCCATCTGCAAACCTATCAGGGTCTTCTGACAGACTAGTCATTCCTTAAACTGTTGGACATATGCAACTGAAAAAGGGATCCACACTCAAGTATTCCCTTTCACCCTGGGACTTTTCCTAGGGGCAGGACAAGTTGTTAACCAGATTAGTAGAAGCACCACTTTGGGTTTTACTTGTGGGGTGCAAAGCTTTCTGTGTTCACTCAGTGGAACTTAAGGCTGTCTGAGGAGGTTGCTGGGGGCTCTGAGGAACACTGGGCTCTTCTGAGGCACTGGGCTCTAAAGGGGGTCCTTTGGTCACCTGGAAGGGATGAGACTAACTTATTGGTCTGAGGATTATAAGGTCAAGGAGAATGTCCAGTGTGGTTATCCTCCTTAAATAGATCAGTGAGACGAAGATCCCCTTGAGAGACAAGCGAGGGTCTCAGAATAGGGTCATCCAGTATATTTTCCCCCCTCAGGGCTTTCACTAGGTAAAATAGATCCTGAGCATTCCCTTTGATAAAGAATCACAAAAGCCTGAGTGTAAGGCATTTCACTTTGTCTTTTACCTTCCAAGCCGAAATGCTGTAACTGGAGAATAATGTCACAGGCTAAAGTACCATTCTGTATCCATCTCGGCTACCTCCCAGTTCATATATTGAACCCAGACCATATTGAAATACTAGATAAGCTGTTCTTGTTTTAGTTTTTTAAATAAATGTTATTTTATTGTATCCCATCCCCTCTTTAAGCCCTTTCCCCTTCCTCTATACAAAAGCTTTGTTTCCATTTATTCCTTCTATTTTCACTTCTTTTTTGACTCTTCCTTCCATTCTCCTTCCTTCCCCACCTGTTCCTCTTCCCATTTGAACACTTTCTTCCCACTTCCTAATACGTATTATACATTTCAGTCCTTATTTCCACTTTTGGTTTCTCACACCAGAAAAGCAGTGCAGTCTAGGAGTATGGCCTCAAGGTCCATTCATGTAGCTATAAATGTCTGAAGCTCATCCTTTATGGCAGAGTAGTGCTCCACTGTATAAAAAAAGACATCTTCTTTATCCACTTGTCTGTTGATGGGCATTGGGCTGTTTCCAAGATTTAGCTATTGCACACTTTGCTGCTATAAATATGAAAGTGCATATATCTCATTATCTGAGAAATTATTTTGAATTTGGAAGTGCTATTATATCTGGATATCCCCCCAAAATTTTGTGTGCTCACAGGTGGAGTTTTTGAAAGGTGGTTGAATCATGTGAGTGCTCTAGCTAAATGTGATATTAGAAGACAGGGCCTGCTTGGAAAAAGTGGGTCACTGGGGGGATGACTTGGAAGAGTACATCTCCTTCTCTGGTTCCCCCCTTTACCCTCTGCTTTCTGTCCACCATCAGGTGAATAGTTTTTCTCCAGTCTAGGCCTTTTATCCATGCCATAACCTTGCATGCCTGAAATTCTGAAATGCTTCAAGAATCTCTGGAAATGGATGATGGAGGGAGTTTGGAAAGATTTGGAGATGCTGCCTAGAGAAGCAGCCCTAAACTGTTGCAAGCTATGCTTGATGGGAAATTCTGACTGAAGCTCAGAAGACCAGAATGCTGATTAAAGGATAGATGGTAGAGACCAGTTTCAGAAACTTTCAGTGGGTGACAGGACCCCACTGGCAGTTGGATTCCGGGCAATGTATTTTGCACTCTGGCCAAAAATTTTGACTACGTTTAGCTCATGTAGTGAGATTTTGTGGGAAACTGAGATTAGGAGAGGCAGACTACTTAATCAGTTGGAGGAAATTATAAGACAGCCCCACTGCTTACTGCTTTTTAGCAAGATCTATTATGAAAACCAGGGGCAAAATCCCATTTGAAAAATTTCCAGTTCTTTCTGAAAAAAAGTATCCACAAAGATGGAGTAGAGGAGAGTTTGGTTGGTGAAAAAATTAGCATTAAAATGAATCCAGGAGGCCAGGAACTTCCCTCAGTGGTTCTGCCACCTACCTTGCAAGCAGGAAGACCCAAGTTCCATCCCAGTACCCCCCACAAAAATCCAAGTGCTTTGGATCAGGACAATAGAAAAATGGTTTGAGGGCATGTCAGGAATCAGCAAGACCTTATTCATAGGGTCAAAGGTGCAAAGCTGTCAAGCTTTACTTTGAAAAGCTAACCTCAGGGCAACAGAATGGCTACCTACAGAATTCATTCCTCAGGATTAGGTTCACAATGCTCAGCCATCCAGGCACTCATGGTGCTGGCTTTACAGGAATACAGAATGCAAGAAACATGGGGTCATGAGGCTTCCTTCCAGATTTCAGAAGAAGGCAAAGCAATGTGTCCTGAGCAAACACATAAAGCTGTGAAAGTGCAGTCAAAAGTGCAGGAGTGACCACAGTTACTCGGAAAAGCCAGGAACACAAATAGTCTGCTGAAGAAAGCTACAAACAGTAAGGAAAGCCAGTCCAAAAAAGAAGCCATGAGGTCTAAAACCACCAGCAATGTTATAGGAGTGGGACCACCGAAACCCTTTGGAATTCATATCTTACCACAGCTTGCCCTGGGTCTTGAGCATGGAGTTACAGGATTTAATATTTGCCTTGCTGGTTTTGGTTTTGCTTTAATCCAATTTCTTTATATTTTCCTATTCTTCCCCGTTCTTGTTTTAAATCCTCAGGATCAAATCTTTCCCATTCATCAGGGATATGGCCTAGTGATGAAGTCAGTAGAATCTGCATGGTGATGCGGTCCAAGAGGTTTCCCATTGGCTCAGCTTAGGGCCTATAAAGAGAAGGAGACAGCTAGGTCTGAACTCCTCAAGGTGGCATTCCATACAGAAGGAGAAAAACATAATTCATGAAGTGCCCTTTGTGACCCTCACATAGACTGAACAAGCATCTCTATCAGGACCTTCCCAAGTAAAGTTCTTTTAACTACTTAGTTGAATCCCTTGATGGCCCAACTTGTATTTATTTTAAGCCCCTTGATGGTTTAGTTTGTATTTCAAGTCCACTGATTACTTAACCAGAGTGAAACTTTATAGGAAAAGTATCTCATGTTTATTTTGATAGAAAAATGACTAAAAATGGGGACAGCTCCATTTTTATACACTCACAGTTATTTAGTTAGATTTTAAGCATTGTTTAGTGCTATTCTGTTCAGGCATCAGGCACAGGTCTTTAAATATCTGCATTTACACAGGGAAGCACAAAAGTCATGAGGCAATGGCCTCAGGCAGGCTGTTAGGCTGGGAGAGAAAAGGGTTGGTAAACTGTTAAGGTAAGTAATGGCTGAGGCACACATTTGGCTTTAGTGTCTTGCAGCACCAGCACCAGTTTGTGCTTTTTACTATTGCCTCTGGGAGAATGGCACTAGCCATCTGAGCATCTGCTCCCACAGGGCAACTGTTGTGCCTGTTGCTCTTGGTTTGGCACAGACCTGACAAGGTGCGTGGCACCTGGTGACTTTGGCCTTTAAGTAGGCTAAGCCCTTGGCCTGGCTTTCTAGCCTGGTGCACCCATTCATGGAAAGCTTCAGCCCACCAGTACTTGTCTGGTACTGCACTTCTTTGTCTGAGCCATAAAGGGGCAGAGGGGGCAAGAAGGTTGCATGCTTACATGTACCTGGCCAGGGCAGGTTAGGCCCTCGGGTGCAATAGCCTCACAGGGCTCTCTTCCACATGGAGTCACGGTAAGAGGGTCACACCCCACCCGGACAGGCCTCTGGTGTTGCCTGTGTACCCACATCTGCCCCACTGTATATACCCACATTTCTCCAGGACCATAGACACAGTCCTCTAGTTGTAGCTTTACACACACACACACACACACACACACACCACTGCACACACAAAGATTTTGCACAGGCAAAAATTACATTAGTTCTTAAAGGAACAGTACACAATTTCTTTTTCATGTGGAGAGGAACAAGGTTTTCTCTCTCTTGCTCTCTACAAGTGCTTTACACACACACACACACACACACACACACACACACACACACACACACCCCACTGCACACACAAAGATTTTGCACAGGCAAAAATTACATTAGTTCTTAAAGGAACAGTGCACAATTTCTTTTTCATGTGGAGAGGAACAAGGTTTTCTCTCTCTTGCTCTCTACAAACCCGTATACTCTTTACAATCAGAGGCATAGCTTGTAAGCCCAGTTATAAAAAAAAGAAAAAAAGAGATGGAGAAAAAAATAAATGTAATAGTTATGCAGCAAGACAAGATGGTGGCTGGCCACGTGGCAAGGTAAAGTGGTGGCACTCGGACCAAAACACAGATCAGAAACAAGCCATTTACAGGCTCTAGTAAGCAGAGACCAGGGTAATTTCCAAAAAGGGTAGCAAAGTATATAACAAACAAATTTGCAGACAAAAACACATACCACAGAGCGAATAAAAGTGGCTAGAAAGAAAAACAAAGGGCTGGGAATTTAGCTCAGGGGTTCAGTGGCCTGCCTTGTAAGTGCAAGGACCTGAGTTCAATCCCCAGTAGCAACCCCCCCACACAAAAAAAACAAATGCCTTTTTCCATCCCCCACAGCCAAAAGAGCAGTAAACATTTCCCTGCATTCCTTAAGATGAATCCCCTGTATTCCTGGCCCACAGGAGAGAGTGAGAGGAGAAAAGAAAGCATTTGCAATATTTTAGAAAGAAACAAACACTCTATGGCCATACCACCCTTAATGTGCCTGGTCTCATGTGATCTTAGAAGCTAAGCAGGGTCAGACCTTGTGAGTACTTGGATGGAATAAAGAAACAAATAGTGTGCTCACAGAGGGGCTTACCTTGGTCTCCTGGTACCTTAGCTTTACTCTCCTGGCTGGCTCACCAAAAATATTATTGGGTAATTCCTTTAGAAATGGCTTGCCAATTTAACTTATTCCAGGACCTTTTCACCTTGAACAAAGAATTAAATAACATAAACCAAAAATGTTTGTCAAAAGTTTATTTGAAAACTGAAGGGTGAAGGGGTAGGGAGAAACTGGCTCTGCAGAGCAAACTTGGGCTAAACAAAACAGAAAAAGAGCAAAAATAAAAGTTCTTCTAGCCCAGAAGACACAGGGTGGGCTACCATGAAAAGTCACAATAGTAAGCTCCTCATGGCATCTGTGTTCTTATATGTGGTCCACATCTTGAGGGAACCCACGAGGTATTCTACATATGGGATCCTAGGAATTATCTGGTGCCATCCTGAGGTCTTATTATTGACTGGTCCCATTTATTTCTCCAGCCAGCTTTGCCACACCCTATCTCCTATCTGAATAGGAAGCAGGGAGATAGATTTTGTTCAAATGGAAGCAACTCAAGATGTGGAGTGAGAGAGAATGAAGGGGAGAGGAAAGGGATGAAAAAGGTAATTAAGATATGGTATTTATACTTACTAACTTTCCACAAATGTAATCTTTATGTACTGCAAACAAGTACTAATAGAAAATAAAAACTGAAAAAAATAAGATACAAACCATAAGGCACATTTAATTTCTTGGTTGCTCATTTTCCTTCACTGTATAATGTGTTGGTTTGTGTGGCTATGTAGTTGTTATAATCACCATTTTGCAATGACTGAATAAGTGGCTCTATCATTGATTGCTAGTAATGATAAATAGGGCATATAAGCCCTACTATCTAATATTTAAGATGCTTCCAAATATTTCATATTATCAATTACTATAGTATGCTTAACCTTGTCTTACCAGATACATATTATTCCATGTTAACAGAATTTTAATTCTTTTAAAGAGACTCACAACAGGGTTAGTGTCTTGTGGGTGTACATGAGAAGAATTTGAAAAAATCTAATTGGGTCATGAGCCAACTGAAAATCCCAGGAAATTCAGTAAGCAGCATGAAAAGCCTGCCTAAATCAGGAGCAATAAGAAGAGCAGATGCCACACTAAACAAGAATATGTACAAGAGTGTGAGGAAAGCCAAAAACTTTTCCAGGTCTCAGTGACCCAAATAAAGAAAAGCTTCCTATCACACGAGCACTGGCTTGATGCATGCACGTGGAAGCAGTAAGTTAATCATGATACCCAGAGTAGTTGGGACATTCTTAGTTCTTTGCAATAACCAAAATGTGCAGCACATATGCACACATACTCAATGCAGAAATAACCACTTTCCCTCATTCATGTAGCAGAGATGGAGACTCACAACTATAAGGCAGAAAGGCCTGGATTAGTGTCCCAGCTTCATTCTTTCCTGGCAATATGACTGTCAATAAGAATTACTATTTCTCAAGCTTCCCAAATGTGAAATGGGAAATATATTAAAGGAATAATTAAACAGGTGGTTTTAAAAAATACTTTAAAAACTCTAAAACACTACATAAAAATTAGCTTTTGTGTATTTCTTGGACATGTAGAAATGTTAACTTTATAATTATTACCATCTTAGGGACTTTTGGTGGGGCCAGTAACATACTCATACTATTGAAAACTGTTTTCTTTACTAACATAGTTTGAAATTTAAAATATGAGATAAGTGATAAATACTTTATTTTTCCTGGCCTAAGAGTCTCCAAAGGGATTATATTTCCATCAGTCTATCCCAAATGGTGTTTACTACGTGCATAGAAAGTCCCTACTTTTCTCTTTGGAAGATGGGAACCTATTTTGGCCAATTACTTATTTACTGCGTTTTTGTGCACCTCCATTCAGGGAAGCCATGATTATATTTTTGTTGACTTTCATGTCCTTGCCAAATTTAGTTGCCAAAATTTTTGGTTCCATTCTCTCAATTGAATGTTTCCTCTATAATTGCACTGCTGCTGACTTAAATTCTGCCCGTATTATCTCTTGTTTCATCTTCTGTAATCCATTTGACCACCCTTCTTCAAGTTTTTCCACACCATAATCCATCCTACACACATTGCCAGATGGATTATGCTCCTGAAAAAATGTCATATTTTGCCTCCAAATACTTTACTGTTTTAAAATTCCTTGGTGAGTTAAATATGAACTATTCTAACATGATATTCGAGGCCCTCTATTTAATATCCATGCAGTTGAGATGATTAATTTGTTCAGTCCCTTCTCCTTCATAATATTCTTTTTGCTGCTGAATGTTAGCCAGATGCATGACTGTTTTCAATAAGAACTACATCCCCCAGCATTCCTTTTACTAAAGTGTGGTAATGTGACCTAATTTTGCCAGTAATGAAATGTATAAGCACCTGAGAAGAAAGTTCGATCCCTCTGTCCCCCTTTCTTCCCTCCTGCCCACTGGAATGCAGAAGTGGTGGCTGCCATCTTGAAGCATAAGTTTGAAGCCATGTACCGAAGATGACAAAGTGATGCTACACCTCTTCCCTGTCTGTGTGGAACACCAAATCAGTCCTGCACAGGCATCTTGGAACTTTGCTAAGTTTTGAATGTGTCCCTGAAAAGTTTATGTATTGGAAACATAATCTCCTAATTGATATGTTAATGGTATTTGTAGATAGGGTCTTTGAAAGTAATTGGGGTTGGGTGGAGTCATAAGAGTGAAGCCACCATTCTGGTATTAGTGGCTTTATAGGAAAAGAAAAAGCTCCAAGCTATCACACTTGCTCAACTTCATCATGTGATGCTCCACTAGCAACAAGGCATCACCAGGTGCCAAACAGATGCTGGCATCATGCTCTTGGATTCCCCAGCCTCTAGAACCATCACCCAAATACACTTCTATTGTTCATAAATCACCCTGTCTCAGGTACTTTGTCATAGCAACAGAAAACAGACTGAGACAATTTTTTTATATATGAAATAAACTTCTATCTTTTTTGCTTTATTGTTTTTCTCCAAACATGCATTTTTAATATTGGATTTATTGAGATATAATTCACATGCCATAATTTTCACTCTTTTAAAAAAAAGTATTACCTTCTTGTGACTCATTTGGTCCCATAAATTTTTTGTTTTTTATCATAGTTATTTTTGTTTTATAATTATTATGCACTTGTCATAGACATAGTTTCTGACTACATTTGGAGGTTGAATTTTTATTTGGAGGTTAAGACTCTGTACATTGATTAAATTTATGAATATATGCAAATACTGATTACACTGAAATTCCAACCTGACAAATAAATATATTTGAGAAATCCATTCACAGTTTAGCTTATCCCAAAAGAATGAAAATTCTATTCAAGGCAACACATTCAATTTAAAACAATTTAACAAAATTAACCACAGGATTCAAAACAAGATCTTACTAAATTGGTAAATTGCTCTCTCATTATGTATATTGCAGGCAGAGTCCTGATGTGGGGGGGGCAGTGATGCAGTATCTTTTGAGATTAGCACATTTTAGCCATCCTGTTTTGCAAATAATGAAACTAAAGCTCAGAATTACAGTATTGTTTCAGGAAATTGTGTCTCATTATTAGATAACATAAGGATTTTCATTGTAACCAGTTTCTTGTAGCTATGAGGATCTTACTTCTCTTACACCAATCAGCACTTATCAAAATGTAGTCTGCAAACAACTATGGGATGCTTAATTAAAACATGGATTCTAGGCTCCTACTTGGTCTATGAATTAGAATCTCTGATGATGAGGTTCTGAAATTTACATTTGAAATAAGCTCTTCAGATGATTTTGATGCACACTAAATTTTGAGGACCTCAACTCGACATAATTAATGACACAGTACACAGTCCTTGGCTAAGATATAAAGCTCAGATTTTGAATTACCCTTTGTTGACCCCACCCACAGAATTTCTGAGATAGCAGCTTTGAGGACCATTTCACTCACACATAATAAAGACTCAATCATCTAGGTTTGGAACAATTGGCACTTTAGTGGTCTAGATGGTTGAGTGAACAAAAAATCCATATTCAAAAAGATCACCAAAGGTTCTGAATAATACCAGAAAATAAGTAAGACTCCATTAGGAGCTGAACACTGAACTATCTTGCTGTGGAAGAAAGTTGGCAAATGACATTTTGGAAAGATTTTTAGTGGGACCGTGTTTACTCCTCAAAAGAACTCCAGAAAAATTAGTTGATCAAGCAAAGCTGAGCTTCTTAGACTTATTGCAGTAAGAAACAACACAGCCTTAACAGTCTTGGTTGTGACTCAGAAAGGGAAAATCAGAGACAATGTATACAGTGCTTTAGGACCTGGGTGGGAATTTTAAGGCAAAATTTTCCAGGAAGGAGATTGGGGTTAGACAGAATTTATCACACACAGGTTCAGGGCTATTGGGCACAGTGAGGAAATGGTCCGGAGCAGTGCTGATGAACCTATTGTACTTGTGTTATTTGCTTTTCTTTTAAGACAAAAGGTGTTAATCTATGAGTGTTTTTTTTTTTCAAGCTAAAAACCTCAGTATTCGGGTTTAATTGCAGTGATGGAACTTTAGAACAAAAAAGTGGGTTTGGGGCTGCAGTTTGGACACTCATCTCTAAAAGTTTCACTCTTACTGCTCTAGAGATATTGATGAACAAGCTGTTACTATCTAATTGGTTTTCAGTCTTATCTTATCCAGGAGCAAGTCAGCAAGTTATTTGGTCTAGTCCCAGGACTGCTGAAGACAGAAGAAAACGTTTCCATTCTAATTGAAATAAAAATATTTGCACCAAATCCACCATTATCCCTAAAGACTAATTTTTTCAGAATTTTACATTCTGCAAGCATAGTGATAGAAATAGTTAACATTTGTATTTTATTTAAGTTTACAGAAAGCATTCACATGCACTGCATCTTTTGGTACAACAGCCTATGCGTGAGATAGTGAAACCAAATGATTTAAAATACCCATTTACAGATGATATAATAAAACTCAGGGAAATTGAAAGGGGTCTCGAGCCCCCTTTGGATTCCCCTTACCCAATTATGTCACTCACGCACCGAGAGGTCCAGCAGGAGATCTTTATTGCAGGGAGGTGAGTAGGAGGCAGGAAGACAGAGAGAGAGAGAGAGAGAGAGAGAGAGAGAGAGGGGAGAAGCAAAATCAGAGAGAGAGAGGAGGAAGAAGCAGAAGGAGAGAGAACAAAGAAAGGAAGGTCCTTTTATCAGTTTTTGGGTGGGCTATTGCTTATTTATGAGGAGTGAGTTACTTTTAACCTATCACAGGCCAGATTGCTTTTATGGGCCCAGTCCTGCAGACACAGGTTTCAACTTTCCTGGACCACTGTGGCCTTGCGGGGGAGGGAAACCAGAGATAAGGGCATGAGGTCATTTTAGGAGCCAAGATGTACCAGGAGAATGCAGCCTGTGAGGCGGCGTCACAGCATACTTTAACATGATCAATTCCCTAACAGAAATTATGTAATTTTCCCTCAAAGAAAAGTGCTTTAACTAGGAATTGTAGCCCAGTATACAGACTTCAATCCATACCCTTAAGCAGCACTACAAGGAAGTTTTATTAGTATTAAACCATTGTGGTGCTTTTTAAAAATGTTGTAGAACCTGGAGTTAGTTTTGGAGCTCGTTTAATGAAATCTGACTATGGGAATACTAGAAGGATCTCATAACTTGGTCAGAACTATAAACTTCCAGATTCAGTACCCCAGAGAGAGGAAGCTGTAGCTGGCTAACAGTACAGCAATAATTAGCTTAATATAAATCAACCAAGAAATAGGAAATAAACAATGACTTCCTGAGTGCAAAAATCAAAAAGCACTTTTGTCCTGGTTGTTAATAGCTCCTTAATGTGGGTAACCTAGAAGCAAGTTGTATGGTTTCCAAATGGTAAGCTTTATAGAGTGAAATGTACTTTTCCAGTGTACAAAGCCCCCTCACACCCAGGCTAAGCAGGAAGTTATAAAGCTTTTCAAGTGGAAACTTACTGGCGGGGCTTAATGAGCCATATCACTTCATTAATGAAATGAAATATGCCACATTTCTCAATATCCTCTTAAATTGAAAATCCATCTAAGGAGGTCTTTCTAGATAAACAAATGCCACAAAGTCTTTTCGGACTGGAAAAGCATGTGCTCTGCTGATCTGGAGGTAGAGGAATCACGAAGCCAAGCGAGGGACTATACTGCAAATATAATCGATGAATATGCATAATGAATCATCTCTTGGAAACTGACTGTCCAAGTAGATTAAGTAAATATCCACTGCTACTCAAAGAAGAAATCAATTCTCATGTGTTTTTTCTCAAGGGGTTCATACTTTAAATCAGAGGCTCTCAACCCTCATAGTGGGGTCTCCCAATCACCTGGGAGACCTTGATAGGCCTCAACTCAGACTGCAAGAAATTTAAAATTCCCCAGCTGGGTCCGGTGCTGGCAGAAGTGAGACCCAAACTTCTAAATTAGTGACTTTCAAAGTGTGGTCTACAGACCAGCAGCATAGCCACTTCTCTGACTCTACACGAGCCTCTCTGAATGAATCAGGCCTTGAGGCCTGATGATTACGCTTTAATAGGCCCCCACATGATTCTGGAGGGTGTTAAAAGTACTATTGAGACACCCTGCCCTAAATAAAAGTGCAGTGTCCCTCCACCTGCAGCTTAAGGGAACATAAGCCTGACCTCCCCAAACACTTCTTGGGACATGTGGTTTTTGTCTGAATACAGAAACCACTATTGACACAACACCTAGGTCTCTGGCTTTCAGGTGAACTGGGAAGTACCATGTCACCAATAAACTGTGAATCTTAAAGACTGAAGGGAACAGAAGTCCCTTGACCTCAATTCCGGGGCCAGCACCGAAAGGTGGGCTGGTCCCATAAGGAGCATCTACTGGGCAGTATTTGGGGTTTGCTCCCAGCACACACTACCCTTTCTTCTGACCCAGGCCCAAGTTTGTGGCGAGAGAATTACTCTTTCCCCACTTGCAGTTCCTGGATGAATCCCTTGCTCCAGACCATCCACATGAAGGCTTCTTCTCCACCCCATCTCCCAGGCAACACCAGCATCACCCTGGATGACATCTGCTTCGTTGACCATGCACTCTCTGAACCTCTTCATTTCCAGGGACCCAGCTCTGTACCCACCCCCTTTCTGTCCACACCTCTTCTGAATTCACTAGTTTGAGCTTCCTGTATTCAGTCCTTAGTCTCTTCCTCTAGTGTCTTTGCTTGCATACTCCTGTCAACCCTTTTCTGACCTCGCTTGCCCCTCTCGTCTATTGTCTCCTGACTTCTTCCTCTTACCCTTCCTAAGGCAGTGAATTCGCCTCAGTTGAAGTACAGAATTTTTAAGATGCACATTTTATGTCTTAGAGCACTCTTCATAGTCAGATGTGCTGGCACATGCCTGTAAAGCCAGCTACTTGGGAGACTGAGGTAGGAGGATTGCAAATTTGAGGCCAGTCTGAAAATAAAACCAAAGAGAACTTGACTTAAAAAATAAATAAAAGTGCTAGAGATATAGCTGAGCAGTTGAGTGCTTACCTAGCATGTAGGTCCTGTGTTCTGGGTACAAACACCAACACCAAAAAACCAAAAATGAAAACATAATCACCAGGTGCAGGGTGCATGCCTTTAATCCTAGCTACTCCAGAGGGTGAAGCTGGAGATTCACAAGTTCAAGGTCATCCTAGGCAACTTAACAGGACCCTGTGTCGAAACAAAATGAAAAGGGCTGGGATGCAGCTCTGTGGTGAAGTGCTTGCTTAGCATGTGCAAACAACTGGGCTTAACCCCCAGTGCTACAAGGAAAGGGTGGGGGAGGGAAAAAAGAGAAAGAAAGGGGAAAAGAAAAGAAAGGAAAGATTCAATAACAGTCATTTGCCCTTTAGTGTGGGCAAATGTAAGGAAGGAAGAAATTTAACCAACTAAAAGTGCAGAGAGTCAATGCCAGCGATACCTAGTATTAATCAGTATTACACCTAATAGGTAAAGAGCATTGGAACAATTTTATTTGCACTGAAACACTGGAATCTGCTCTTTCTAGGAACTGACACAATACTCATAGAGGGACACACCTGTGAATGCTAGACTTTGGCATGATAGCATCCAGAGTTCTCTGGCCTCATAAGGGTCAGGATGTCTTGTAGTTCTTGCATTGCTTCTCACCATAGCATTTCACATCTGATAGGAATTCACCTCTATTGGTATATAGATTTTAGGTGACCCAACTCTTAGATAATGGTATGTTTTGTCAGGCTTTATGCAGTAGGGCTCTAACTTAATTCATGTTATTGAAAATGTCATTTCAACACATAATCAATATTTTACAAAATCGCTGATCCCTCTGTGTGTGTGTGTGTGTGTGTGTGTGTGTGTGTGTGTGTGTAAGTCTTTGAAACACTGCTGTGCATGACACTCTTGTAGTACATGCCAGTGGGGAATGATCACATTTCAAGTGCTTGCTGTGGCTACTTTATTGGAGAGCAGATCTCTTAAATCATTAATCCCCAAAGGCAAATAAAAGATTATAATTAAAACATGAAAGCTTTAAGTCAAAAGTTAGTTATTTGAATCATCCAAAAGCAAAGCAGTTTTCTTTGTTGGTTTGTTTGCCAACAGAAATTACACTGTTGAGCTGAGAAAATTCTCTTGCCTGCCGTACATAAGGCTTGGGGCCACTGAGTAGAAACAGGCTTCTTGCTTAAAGGACTGTTCTGTTAGCTGTGAAGTCTTGGGTACTTTCCTTTCCCAAGGCACCTAGCATTTTTTTCTCACTTTACAAATTAGAACTGTATTTTTCTGATTTCCAACATTCCCAGGTAGTGACTAAGAGGTGTGTTACAAGCCTCTTGGGAATCTTTGGAATTCTCTTAGAATTCCACTCATGGTATGAATCCTGCAAAGCAAAATGGCTTCCCATCTGTTCTGTGGGGTGAAGGAGTCTGAACCCAGAAACAAGGAATTGCTGCACTAATTCAGCACGAATTCAAATAACATGTTCTTCCACCTCACAAAATGTTAGGCTTCTGGGGATTGCAAATGCATTACCAAGATGACCCAATTCATTCTCTCTCTCTCTCTCTCCCCCCTTCCTTCCC